GAGTAATAAAAACAATAGGAAGGACGGAAAGACAAGATTACACAAAACTCCTTGTAAGGACTAACCACCATTGTATACCAGAAACCTAGATAGCATCAACTGAAAGTGGAAAGGGCAAGAGGGACAACAAAAGGAAGAATCAACCAATCAGCAACCTCGCAATAACGGCGGTAGGATGGAACCGAAATACAACTTAATAATTGCCGCCAGATGTGTCCTGACATAGTCGGGAACGAAACCAAACCTCACAAGGAGGAATAGAAGAACCCTACCTCCTTAGACACCAGAAACGACATGTTTACACACTGCTATAGACGGAAGAATCAACATAAATTAAAACGTCTAGTGACAACAAGATCAAATGGAATCAAGAGAAACCATATCTGAACAAGTCCTACACAATAAAGATCGCAAATATAGACAACAGCTATGAAGAGCTGAAATGCCTGAACGCGACCGAATAATTCATTTTTGTTCTACAAAGAGAGAGAGAGAGAGAGAGAGAGAGAGAGAGAGAGAGAGAGAGAGAGAGAAAAAGAGAGAGAGAGAAAGAGAGAGAGACAGAGAATGAGGGAGAGAGAGAGAGCGAGAAATAGAGAGATAGGAAGAGAGACACGGAGACAGAGAGAAATAAGGATGATTGAATGACAGGCCCAGCACACCGTTAGGGAATTTATTTCTTCAACTGTTACTTCTCAAGAATAAAACTATTCCTCCCTTCAACGGCAAAAGTGGAAATTGCTGATGATGATGATGATGACGATGATGATGATGACGATGATGATGTTGACGATAAATCAAGTAACAGAAATGACATTCTATTCTTTTTTTTTTCATTTTTTATTTCAGTTCCAGATGTCAAAGAATGGTGAGTACATGAGTTCCTGGCTGTCTCATCATATTTAGTTTTGTCTTGTATCCTCCGCCTATCGGTAGAAAACATGCATTTATTTAGTTTACATTCCAGTTCTCCAGTTTGTATCTTCTTCCAAGTTCGCAGTGAATTTCGAGATTCTTGTACTTGTCTAACATTTCCGATGTTATTAACGCACACGTCCATTAAACAATTCATCTGTGCATGCATACTTAGATATGTAGATACATAGACACATAGATGCGTAGATACATAGACGCATAGATGCGTAAATGCATAGATGCATAGATGCATAGATGCATAGATGCGTAGATGCATAGATGCACATATGCACACATGCAAACATGCATAGATGCAAAGATGTGCATAGATGCACGCCTGCACGCATACATGCATAGATGCAAAGATGTGCATAGATGCACGCCTGCACGCCTGCACGCCCAATCTTGCTGCCGTCCCTAAATCCCCGAGCTATGAGCGCCTCTGGGCCTTTGACAACCGGCTAGCCACTCCCTCTATTGCAAGCAGTAGTAATGATCCATTTCCAGTTAACCTACTCGGCCTTGCCGCGAATAATACTTTGCATTAAAGAGGCACATACCTATTGAACTGACTAGAGACGTTAACCTTTTCGTACGTCTCCACAACACACAGTCGAGAGCCAGAACATCGACGAGCAACGATCACTTCCCTGCTGTAGAATGATTGCTTGCTCGACCGGCAAAGGACTTGACATATCCTCGCAGAAGGCAATCTCCTCTCAACTGCTGCAGATAAAGTGTTGGGCTCTCCCCGTCTTTTCTCCACTAAATACACTCAATTGGAGCATTCCGAACTATAGACTAAATCCTAATGAAAAGTACTAATCACCCCACCCCCGGCGCCCCCCCCCCCCCCACATAATAAAGTAGTACACATTATTACGAATAACGGTCACACACACACCTGCAAATGTCTACTCTCTCTCATCGACCGAGAGCCACTGACTAGACACGGATTAACCTTCAGCTCAGCGGCTGACTGTCACATACCGCTCCTGTCGCGTGCCTGATTTAAGGATTTCTCCTTAAGAACCAACAGCACTCTGAAATAATTATGTAGAGGCATTGGCTCGTATTGGTCTAAGGGAGATCCCGTTGCCATTATGCGCCCAACTTATTTCAGGAGTAGGGCAACTCAAGCTCTAGCACTACAGAATATCTAATATTCCTAGGCACACTTGGCTGGACACCCCCACTGCTATAAAAAGATAGCGCCCAGGTTATGATAGTATACTATCATAGCCATGTTAACACAGATTACACTTATTAATCACACAAATATAAACTAGACAGAATGTTGAAACAGGGACACCCAAGTCAGCTATTAAAATTTCTTAAAAAAAGGTTGTAATAATTTCTCTCTCTCTCTCTCTCTCTCTCTCTCTCTCTCTCTCTCTCTCTCTCTCTCTCCATATATATATATATATATATATATATATATATATATATATATATATATATATATATATATCAAGACATTCAGTATGGTTTCCAGTGAAAGGAGTTCATGACTTAACGTCACAGCAATGATGTTGAAACAGCCAGTGTGTATCCTGAACAAGTATATATTTCATCATGGTGAACCAAAGGTGAGCATGGACAGAGAGCATATAGGGCATAATAGATTTACTAACCAACTGGTATGTCTCTGCTCCCTTCAGTTCATGGTGACTTGAACCGGCTGACTCAATAGACTGCTTTTATCTCTGGTTGATTTGGCACTCACTGATCGTCTTACAAATGAGAACAAAGGAACTTCACTGGAGCTCAACACAGCTCCTGAGGAAGACTCCCTTGGATTGATGACACAGGTGGCCTGCAATACTGTCACTCAGCCACTGGAACTCACACACAAGCTCCTGAAGTAGGATTCCTTGGGTTGATGACACAGGTGGCCTGCAAAACTGTCACTCAGCCACTGGAACTCACACACAAACTCCTGCCATGTTGATGTTCTGCCAACAATAGGTAGGGTTTTGGGTAGGATTGGTGATAGGAATGGTATGGGATGGTGATTGCTGGTTATGGTTTTGTGATTGCTGGTTATGGACTGTGATTCGTCTGCTTGACTTCTAAGGAGATTTCATATCATGCTTAGGAATCCTTCAAGGATTAACTGGTACTTTGAAAGCGTCAAAGTTGAGGAGCGCATTACAAAGTCTTCCGACACCTCAGATGTTTGGCACAAGAATGCCCGCCCAAACTAAGCTTGGCGTCTCTATGAAAGAAGTCCCTGTATTCATGCCTAAGGAGTAAACAGGCTTATAGGAATTTCTGAATTATACACCAGAAATATCCAGCCCACAGTTGCAAGTTTGAAAATGTAGACTTCTCAAAACAACTAGAGGGTCTAGAAATGTTTATTTCACCAGATAGAGGTATATATCAATGTAAGGGACTATATAACCCCCCCCCCCCCCGGGACGGGTTTAAGTTTGAAATGTGACGTGCCAGCTTAGGGAAGTCAGCGTCACGACTCGTCCAAAGTGTAGGGTTGGCTGTTCACTCCACGACACTGACCATGCTTGGGTCTTGCAATTCCCGTGGAGACCGCTGTTAGCCGTAATCTCAGGAAACCCCTGTCTCAAGCGTCAAGTAGCGTGGACGTTTTGCACTCATCTTTGTCATCATCATCATCTAGCGCCTCTACGACTGGCGTAGGCGATCGCGCCTCTGACAATTGAACAACAAAGTGAGTTCAGCACACAACAGAGAGAGAGAGAGAGAGAGAGAGAGAGAGAGAGAGAGAGAGAGAGAGAGAGAAGAGAGAGAGAGAGATTTGACAGTTACATTATACAATGTTTATGCAAATTATGTATATTTTTGTCAGGACTGAGGGCAGTAGACACATGACTCCATACATAATTTATGAAGATAAGGTAAGTGTTTTGTTTTTCTTACTTTATTTATTTTGTTATTGGTGTGTGTGAAAAACAGCACAATCTGCGTTCAGAATTAACTTTATCTGTCAGATGTGTAAGCTAAACATAAATTCATTTTGTTAAATAACTGGTAGATGCATCATGTTTAATTTAACAAACACTCTGCAACATGATGTGTGTTAGTTTATGGCTAAATAGTATTTTTTTAATGGTTGGAGCATATTGAAAATATGTCAGATGACAGAAAAGTAAAAACTGTATACACAAGGGAGATGAATGGTCGTAGACCACGAGGTAGACCAAGAAGACGATGGAGAGATAATGTCCAGACGGTCCTGCAAACACTTGGTGTTACCAATTATACAGGGAAGGCCAAGCCGAGAGATGAGTGGAGGCGGGTGAAATCTGTGGCAATGAACCTCAAAGACTCGGAATGCTGAAGAAGAAGTAAATTATGTACATGACGTAACACACACACACACACACACACACACACACACACACACACACACACACACACACACACACACACAAAACCAGCACCGGTTGGCTGTTCGGGATTATAAAAGGCAGTTTTAACGTTATGTAGTTTGCTGTTGCTTTCTTAATTTAACTATGCCTAAACATTTTTTGTTCCAAATCAACGCAAAACAGTATGATAGAATATTTCTTGCAGTTGACGTTAAACCCCGGCATAATAGTTTTGTGAAACTGCGTTCGCAACCTATAAGTCACAGACGCCGAAAATATAACAGTTACATGGTTATTGTTGTTGTGGTGATTGTGGTGTTTTTTGTTGTTGGTGGTTTTATTGTTAGGTATATTCTTTTTGTACAATAACTTTTGAAACCATCAAACCAGAGACTCTTATTGTTGTTTCTCATAGTTTTCTTTATTTGCCTAAATAATCTTATTTGATCTTTTCCATCCATCCATTCATCTATATATCCATCCATTCATCCAAGCACCATCCATCCAACCAATCATCCATCCATCCATTAATCCGCCTGTCCGCCACTACCAAGTCTGTCTGATTGTTTGTCTGCCCCTCTGACTGTCTACATTTCTGCCTGCCTGCCTGCATACCTATCTCTCTAAATACTACCTACCTACCTACTTACATTTACACCACTGTATACTGACTGCTGTGATATCAATAGCCACATGATGATGTTGACGTTTATCTCTATGCTACACTTGCAGGATGCGACGATTGAGCTGGAAGATGAGGATGAGGAGGTATTTACTATAGAGACGGAAGTCATGGACGACGAGGTAAATGGACTTCGCTGTCGCTAAAGCCCTCGTCAATGAATGATTCCTCCTACCATGTGTTTTGTTGAACAGGGCATCTAAACATCTATGTAGATGTCCGGAGTGCTATACAGATAACTAAACTCATAACTGCTGTAATGTAAATCGAGTAGTGAGTGGCGAGCGCTGCATGTTTCAGAATGGACTCCTTTGTTTCTATGATTGATTTGGGAGGGGGGTTAATACTCAGGGGATTCGAATGTTAACTCTTGGAGGAGACTGAGTGTTAACTTTTGGAGGAGATTGTGTGTTGACTCTTTGAGGAAAGAAGTGTTAGCTTTTGGAGGAGACTAGTGTAAACTCTTGTAGAAGACTGAGTGTCAACTCTACGAGGAGAGTATTGGTACTCTTGGAGAAGACTGAGTGTTAACTCTTGGAAAAGATTGAGTGTTAACTCTTGGAAAAGATTGAGTGTTAACTCTAGGAAAAGATTGAGTGTTAACTCTTGGAAAAGATTGAGTGTTAACTCTTGGAAAAGATTGAGTTTTAACTCTTGGAGCAGACTGAAGTATTTATGGATATTCATGCTTGCTATTCTTGATATTCATGCGACCCAAGAAGCAAAAGCAGAAAGACTACAGTGGAAGAGAAAAAAAAAGACGAACAGAATAAAATAAATAAAAGAAAAGTCCTAACCCAGCCCGAAGATATTTGGTTCAAATCTTTATCAAGTCGGATTTTTCACACACACACACACACACACACACACACACACACACACACACACACACACACACACACACACACACACACACACACACACACACACACACACACACACCACACACACACACACACACACACACACACACACACACACACACACACACACACACACACACACACACACACACACACACACACACACACACACACACACACACACACACACACACACACACACACACACACACACACACACACACACACACACACACACACACACACACACACACACACACACACACACACACACACACACACACACACACACACACACACACACACACACGCACGCACGCACGCACGCACGCACGCACGCACGCACGCACGCACGCACGCACGCACGCACGCACGCACGCACGCACGCACGCACGCACACACACACACGCACTCACGCACGCACGCACACACACACACACACACACACACACACACACACACACACACACACACACACAACAACAACAACAACAACACGATTATGGGTCTTAGGTCGACCTAACCTAAAAAAGATACAAGACAAAGTTCGGGAAAGGGGGCGTTGGCATGGTTACTCGACACCCCTTAAAACCGGGTATATCACACAGTTTGAATCCACAACTATGGAATACCGACAGATCTTCATTTCAGACCAATGAAATAGCACCATAGGTTACAGACATGTATAATAACATGTCTTGGACAGTATACGCTCAGGTATATCTGTTGTATTTGTGCACGTCTTTACCGTTCCCGCCGTTTAAAATGATTTTGAGCTCCTAGAGTTTG